TTTGGCCTGCAGATTGAAGAAGAGACTATATGGCTTGAAGCAGACCCTGAGACAGTGGTACAGGAGGTTTGACAGATTCATGTCAGATAATGGGTTTATGAATTACCAAGCGGATCACTGTTGCTTTATCAAATACTTTGGTAACTGTTATATTTTGCTTCTTTTATATGTGAATGACACGTTGATTGCAAGGAAAATATGGAGAAAATCAGGGAATTGAAGAACCAATTATCAACTAAGTTCGAGATGAAGAATTTAGGTCCAACCAGAAATATCCTTGGGAATGACAATCAGTAGGGACATGAGTACATGCACACTAAATTTGTCTCAGACATAGTATGTTGAGAATATCCTATAGAGGTTCAACAAGAGTTAAGCAAAACCAGTTAGCACTCCTTTGGGTAGTCACTTCAAACTATCTAAGAAGCTATCACTAAACTTTGAAGCAGAGCAAACACAGATAGAGAGAGCTTCGTATGCTTCAACAGTTAGAAGTTTGTTGTATGTGATGATTTATACCATGTCAGATATAGCATATGCAGTGGAAGTAGCCATCAGATACATGGGCAATCAAGCAGGCATCATTGGGAGGCGGTGAAGTGGATTCTCAGACATTTAAGTGAAACAGTTAACAAGACACTTTATTTTAGAAATGCAGAGATCAGTCTATAGGGATTCATAGATTCATATCTGACAAGCAAAGTACAATGAGGCATATCTTCACATTGGAGAACGTAGCAGTGAGTTGGATTTCTAGGTTATAGAAAATTGGTGCACCGTCAACTGCGGTGGCTGAATATTTTGCTATTACTGAGGCTAGTAAGGAGATGATTTGGCTACAAAACTTCATGACAAAGTTGGGCAAGGGGCAAGAGGATGGAAAGCTCTACAGTGACAATATGAATGTGATTCATCTTACTAAAAACTTTGTTTTCATGTCAAGACGAAACACATCCAGTTGCGATATCATTTCATTCGATATCTTTTTAAAGATGGCCAATTATTTCTGGAAAAAATACACAGCTCAGCATCCTGCAGATATGTTGACGAAGGTGATGACTGACGAGAAACTAAAGCAATACTTGGCTTCAGATTCATGAAGGTTGAGACTGGGGGTGAGAAATACCACAGTACAAGACTATGAAGACGATTCAGATGGAGGTGCAGGTAGGAAGGACTGGACTCGGTGCTATCAGTCTTCAAATGGGAGATTGTTAGGTGTGGAGTCTAATTAGAGCACCCATGAGCAGCAGGTAGGCTGGATTTCTCACAGACAGTGCTTCCGACACCTTAGCGCTGAGCTATGGCCACTCAAACACCCATTAGGTGTTTCCAGGCCGAGAAGGTAGAAATCCAGTACCGATTATGGGCGCTTAGGAGCCCAATGTGGGCGCTTAGGTGCTCAATTTTGACGCTAGGGCGCTAGCTACCCGAGAGCTCGGTGCCCAAAACAATTAGTGGCTGAATTACAATTTTTAATCCCGATTTCAAACTTTTTTGTTGAGTTTTGCTATTTCTTTCTTTTGTATTCTTTGACAAGCATCCCGGTGAAGATGAGGAGTGTGGGATAGGTGGATTTTGGTGATTCAACGTGACTTTTGCGTCAGATCTAAGAGGGAAAATTGTTGGTGCAAGTCATGTATTTTTTTTCGTGTGAGTGTGAAAAAGAAACTTGTGTAAGTCCTTTATAAAACTTTTTGAATTACATAGTGAAATTTGTAGTGGTGTGACTCCGTGGTTTTTTCCCGTTCTAAGGCTTTTTCACTTGAAATTCTTGTGTGTTTTTCTAATTGCTTTGATTATGCTTCTGTATTTAAAAATTTTGCTCTATTTTCTCAAATCCTGTGATCCTATTTTGTGGCGAAATTAAAAAAATACTCTTTTACAGTAGTTTTCTTAACAAAGGCCTTGAACACATAAGAGTATTGTTTTTTTTTTCCACATTAATCATTTGAATAATATGTCAATGTAGGAAATCAAGTTATTGGTCCTCAACCATAGGCTTAAAATTTTAAGTTTAAAAAAACCTTTCACCACTCTTGTATTTATCACAACTTTAGTTCATTTTGGTTGAACTTTTGTAACAAATGATATCAAATGTGATGATTTGGCTCGAATCAAGTAGCTTATGTGATTTACAAACCCCATGAGTCTTGATTGCCTCTACTATAGTTGAGCAAGCTTCAGAGAATTGGTGACTCCCACTATATATCCACATGGTCTGGCGAGCTCTCGGGTGCATAATACATAATAAGCTTCAATTTGAGAATGATATTTGATGTGGAGAAATCTATAAAATGATTATTAAGCAGTTAAGAGTATTGGATTTAGTCCCTTATTAAATAGTTAAAGTATAGGTTGTGTAGAAAAGTAAAGCAATTGGCTCTCACATACATACTTAATTTTTTAAAATGAAAATGAGTTCTATAACTAGTGTATGTTGGCCAAGTTGAGTCCTCTTCTTATTAATCCACCCTATTATTAAAGTGATAAACAAAGAAAAGTCAAGTTAAACGACGGTGCATAAACAAACTTATGTTGTCAAACACATCCAAAAGTCGATAAGCACATCAATGGAAGATAGCATAGGAGCGCCACTATGAGCATCATGAGGCTTTATACAATAAGTCATGGTTTGTAGTCTTGGAGAATAAAACAAAGGAAGATGAGAAGGAAATGTTACTACTATTATTTATATTAAATTTATTTTTCTACAAGTTTCCTTTGAGTGTTCCTTAGTGGAGAATAAGAGTGATAAATAAAGAAGGTTTAAGCATAGAAAATTAAAGGTGATGGAAAATATTTAAGTGCAGATATTTGTATTTTATATAAATCTCCAAACTAGCAAAAAAACATATATTTCTTTGTGGTAATCGATGTAGGTGAACCATACTTATTTACAGTTTTTTCCTTGCTAATTTTTCTCTAAAATACTCACACCAAGCAAAGTAATAGTGTTTCCATAACCCCCAAAAACCCCAGAAAAAAATGAACTCTAAAACAGATAACAAAATGTTACCTCTAGACCAACAATGATATGTGACTCTTTTATCAAATACAAGCTCAAACATATATTATTCAAGTCTTTCCTCTATTATACATGTGATAAAGAGGGTGATCCTAAAATTATCATAGAATTAAAGTGCCAAATTTTTATTTGCTCCAAACTATAAAAATTCTCCAGAAATAATTTTTCCTATTCTCTTTCTCCCCAAACCACACTATTTAGGTACAACCATGTCATTATGCATGTTCAAATGAAGAAAGTACCTCAAAATCAATGGAGAAAATCATAAGCTCCACAAAAAATGAAATAATAAACACGCTAATAAGTACCAAAAAGCATAATAAATTAATCACCAAAGCATAGAAAAAAATGGCAATAAAAACAATATATTCTGCACACTCAATTTCCACAACTCACTCCTTTAATACACACACACATTCACAACAGCACACATATAACCACATTGAAAAAAATTTAATATTTCTCCTTTGCTCTCATTCCCTTCTCCCAGTATTTCTCTAAAAAATAAGGTAATAAAAACCTTTCCAGACATGAGTGTAATTTCATATTTAGCAGAACTCTTTTCATATAATCAGAGGTCACTATAATTTTCTCCAAGTCAATTTTCACATTTAATGTACATGTGTTCTTGAAAATGGCCCAAGTGTGAAGGAAGAGCTAGCAGAGAGACCACCAGGTAGTAGTATCCGTGCTATTGTTCCACAAAGTTAAAATTTATATTCAAGTATCTCTATATATACATATGATAGGAATCTTCTAGTAGCTTAATATTACATCACTGCCCTGAGCGGTTACAGACTGACATTCCATTCCCTACGTCTATATGCTACCAGTCCTCTAGCTGGAATTCGTTTTTGCTGTCTTCATTCAATTGAGATGGTTATGATTGTTATCCCCCTTCACGGTGATGGGTTTTGGAAAGAACCTAAAGCTTGGATTTAAATAAATTCAATCACTGTTTGGCCAGTGCTTTAGTAAAGTATTGTCGGTTGGTTCTACGTATTGATGTAGTGAATCGCCAGTTGGCCTGATTAGAGATAATCACGAATAAAGTGATAATCGATCTTAATGTTTTTTGTATGAGCATAAAACAAAGGGCTATTTGCAATCACCATGGCCGACACATTGTCATAGTAGAGTTTTGTTGGTTGAATTGTTCATCGTCTAGTTCTCGGAGAAGTCACTTTAGCCAAAGTATATTTGCAGTTGCTGCCGCTAAAGCTCGGTATTCTGCTTCCGTAGATGATCAAGCAATTGTGTTGTTTATTTCCAGTCCAAGAGATGGGTGTATGGCGAAGGAGGGAACATATGTGGTGGTGGAGCGTCAGTTTGCTACATCACCTACCCAATCGACATCGGAGTATGTTTGTAAATAGAAATCACCATGTGTTATATTAATCCAGGATTCGATCATTCTCTGTAAATACGCAGCAAGTGTTTAAGCTTCCGGTGATGATATCAGGTTGGCTTATATATGTGCTGGCATAGTTGGTTCACAGTGAACTAGATATCTTGATGAGTTATCGTAAGGTATTGCAAGGCGCCAATGAATTTTCGATGCTCGGTTGGGTTTTCCAAATACTGTATCATATCAGGAACTTCAAGCTTCATGATAGGTAAGGGAGTGAAGACAGCTTTGCATCCCAACATTAGCGTGTCTTGAAGTATGGTGGTGAGACAAGATTGTTGGTTTAGGAACATGTATTTTGCTGTTCTATGAACCTTCATACCTACGAATTTGTGCACTTCACGTATCTTGAAGTATGGTGATGAGACAAGATTGTTGGTTTAGAAACATGTCTTTTGCTGTTCTATGAACCTTCATACCTACGAATTTGTGCACTTCACCTAGCTGTTTGATTTGCAACCTGGTGGTAAGATTTGTTGTCTGCTCCCGAATTGCAGAAAAGCTATCGCCCATAATGAGAATATCATCAACGTACAGAAGAACAAAAATTGGGCAATGTAACGGCAGAAGGGACGGATCGTTCTTGCTAATAGTAAATCCCAACTGAATGAAAAAAATATGATATGGTAGCAAACACTGTCGAGGGGATTGCTTGAGAACGTATAGGGCCTTCTTGAGAACACATACATGGTGAGGGATTAGGGTATTCGTAAGCCCAATCAGTTTTTACATATACATTGTCTCCAGTAACGTACCATGCAAGAATGCATTGGAGACTTCAAATTGAATAAGTGGCCATTGTCGATTGAATGCCACCATTAGGAATGTTCTCTAAGTTGCCATCTTTGCAACAAGGCTGAAAGTCTCATGATAGTTCATTGCATACTCTTGATTGTATCATTGAGCCACTAGTCTTGCTTATTATTGTTATTGTCCCATCTGAATGAAGTTTTGTGTTGTACATTTTTCGACAACACAAGGCAGGTTGATTAGTAGGTGTTGGAACTAGAGTCTAGATTTCTTGAACTTGAAGAACATGAAATTCCTTAGTCGTAGCTTTGCGCCAATGCACAGATTTTGTTGCTTGGTTGTAGAACATGGGATCAAGTGGGAGCTGCAACTGTTGGAGGAGATTAAGTCATTGGGTGGGCTTCAAATTACCTGTTTTAGCTCTAGTTAGCATTGGGTGAGTAACAACCAGTAGCTGTTCCACTGGTGATGTGCTATCTTAGACAGCAAAGGCTGTAAGGTATGAATAGGTGAAGATTAGGAGGAGAGGTGTGTTGGTTGTGATGTGGCCAAAAGTGGATTGGAGATTGGGCTGTCCATATGTTGTGGAACTTGGTATCACGGTTGAAGTTGGTAAAGAAGGGATGGGTTGGTAATTGGTGGTACATGTGGTGGAATAGTAAAGAAGCTAGATAGGAATGGGAATTTTGTTTCATTAAAGACCACAAGTCGAAAAATTATGAGTTTGGCTGATTAAGGGTCATAACATTTGTACCCTTTGTGAGCAGAGGAGTAGCATAGGAAGATGCATTGGGTTGATTGGGGAGCTAGCCTGTGTGGTGTCAAATATTTCAACCATGGGTAGCAAGAACATCCCAAAACTTTCAGATGTGAATATGTGGGTGACTTATTGTAGAGGAGCTTATATGGAGTATTAGACTAAATATTTTTAGAGGCATGTGGTTAATGAGGTTCCACTGTGAGTAATGCTTCTAGCAAGAATTTTAGAGAAAGAGAGGCTCGGATAGAAGCGTGCGGGTGGTTTTGATAAGGTGGCAATTGCGCTCGACAATCTCATTTTGTTCCGACTTATATAGTCAGAAGAATTGATGGAGTACGCCATGTTGCATCAGGAAGTTTTTAAAGTTTAGATAATTGTATTCTCTGCCGATCTGAATATTTTTATTTTGGTGTTAAACTAGTTGTTGATCATTTGAATCAATTTGATAAATTTTTTTTTGTTGTTTCAAATGTTTACGTCACGGGGAATAGCCAACAAAATTTGGAATATTCATCAACAAAAATTACAATAGTATCTAAAACTTTGATTAAATGTTAGTGGGACCGACCTCATACATCGGAATGGATTAATTGTAGAGGGGAATACATGCTGAGAGAAATTGAAAGGAAAAAGTTGTTTGCGACTCTTATTACAGTTACAACTATCACATCGAGGTAGACTTGGTGGTATTCCGAAGGACGAGTGTGTCTTCTATATGAGTTAAAGAATAGCTTGATGAGGGCGTCCAAACTATTTATGCCAAAGAGTAGAGAGTTGTAAGGAAGCCACCAAGGCTTGATGAGCTGCAGAGATTTTGTTTTTGGAGTGGGAGGTAGGGTTGGAGTATAACCCATTAGAGAGGCAACCCCAAAGCAGAGTTTGATGTATCCGTGAGTCAAAGATAAGAAAACCAGTTTCGTCAAATAAAATAGTAGCATTGTTATCTTTGGTAAGCTTATGAACTGAGAGGAGGTTGTGAGAGAGGGATGGAACATTCCAGAAAGTGGGAAGTCGAAGTGTGCAAGTAGTAGGAAGTATACCATCACCTATAAGCACTACAATTACCGATTGCCCGTTGCCTACCAGAACTTTCTCTGACCCATCTGCAGGAGCAGCAATTTGCATTTGATTGAGGTCATTTGTAAGGTGTTCTAAGCCCTAGTCCATCGGCTAGGATGAAGCATCAGCTTGGAGTGCTTGATTGGTCGGAAAGTATTTTAAATTGGAGCGATGTCAACCATTGGTAGCAGCATGGCTGAGTTTATTACAGATTCGACAGACACTGAACGCAATAGAGAACGGCCAAATTTAGATCATGATGCCACTGCTTGCTATTTCCTGCGTTGAGCTCAAGAGGAGTTGGCATGCCTTGCACGGGATGTGTTGAGCGTCACTTGTGAATTTGACTTGTGCTCAAGTTTCAGGTTGGCTGTTGCCATGTTGATCTCCTCTCTGCATAAGAAAGCATAAAAGTCATCTAAAGCAAATGGTTGTATTTGAGGTCATATTGCCATTTTGAATGCTTGATAATTGATTGGTAGCCTATTCAAAGTATTTAGAATGATGTCTTCGTTGTCTAGCTATCCTCCAGCAGCTGAAATATTGTCAACCAAGGCTTTAACAGTTGAGAGGCATTGAACCATGAATTGGGTGCTCATTGAAAGATTATGGAGTTCATTTTTCAGTTGAAACAGGAGAGATCTGTTGATCAGTTGGAGTCTCTTAGCCATTGTTTGCCAGATTTCAGCAGTTGCCGATAGGTGAAGTATATATGAGAGAAAGGAGAGAATGGAATACAATGCAACAGTCAGGTTCTGGCTAGAATTCGTTTTGTTGTCTTCATCCGGTTGAGGTGGCGATGGTTCTTACTAAGAACATCATATATATCGAGTTCCAAAGAAAAACAAAAGTTTTGGATGCACAAAAAATAAAATGTGATGTCAAACAGGCACTTAATAAATAATCTTACTTATTTTCTCGTCTCAACTTTCATTGTCTTTTAATAGTGAATGCAACCTTAATTATAATAAAAAATAGAAAAAACAAGATGATTTTCCTCCTGGCCCTTCTTCGCCTCATAAACCTCTTTCAACGATGCTAGTTAAGAAAATCAACTCAAGTTCAACCATCTGATTGGCTCCAAAACCAACCAAGAAAATATTAAATTAAAGTTATTTTAGGTGTTCCTATACGAAGATTTGGTCAAGAACACCATACTTAACTGGATCATATACACATTATTGATAAAATATTATGAGTGATCATGACTGTGTTAATGTGGCGCTTGAACAAGAAGGTCTTGATCCGATTTCTCTCTTCTTGGTAGAAGAAAATATCTTCAAACAAAAATGAGAAATTACTTCTCCGCTCCCGCATTTCCATTTCGATTTCTTTTTCATTTCACAAGTCAATCAAACCAAATATAGATCTATAATCAGAATACAGATCGATGCCAAATGGAGTGCATAGAAACAGATCAACAAAGGAAGAAATCAGTCATGGCATCTAACCAACCAAATCTTTATTCAATTCTTTATTTTCATCAGCCCCTTCTCTGCTATTTCACCTCTTTTCGAATCAAAAAAATTACCAACTGAAATCTTCCAAGAAAGGTTAATTTCTTAGAAACCAGTGACCTAATTGACACATTTAGTTCTAGAAGAGATGAAGAGAACTTCATCGCTAGATAAATTAGAAATCAAAATGAAGATACTCATCTAATTCAGCAAAATGATGATATATCTAGAAGATCGGCGGCGGCGTCAGAGAGAAAATATCAACGTCGGAAAATGGGCGAAAGCGCACCTTGTCAATTTCGATCTGTGCGCAGATCTGTACCCGAGCTAGATGACAAGAACTTTTATTGCCTTTTGGCTTTTTCTAGGTTTTCATTTTATATTATTATGAATTAAATTTGATATTTACATTTAGATTTTGGGGAAAATTTTGGGTACGTAAATCCTAGACAGCACTGCGTACATAATAAAAATTATATTTGTGTTATATCAGTATTATATTCGTGTTATATTTCTTATAACCTTCATGTAACTTTCATATAATCTACATGTAACCTACATATATGTGAAAGCAGAAGCGCGAAACTTATTTGTAAATTCAGATAGATTATGTGTATGTTATATGGAGGTTACATCGAGGTTATAGACGATATAACGTAAATATAATGCGGATATAACGTGAATATAACATCCATTATGTACACAGCACTGCGTACGTCTTATGTAAGCAAATTTTTCGCTAGATTCTGAATGAGCATTTGGGAAAAAAAGGAAGAAAGGGCGTTGTAGATTTGTAAATAGTTACATTTTTAATGTTTTATAAATTAGGTCCCCTTGGGGTTGGTCCGTTGGGGGCGGGAGAAGCAGGATGATGGAATTGGGTTTAAAGTTCAATTA